AGGAGAATGGCATCAATAAGAAAAACATATATCCTTGTATTATGATCTTGAACTTAGTGTTAATATATTCTTTGTGCCATGACAAGTCATTGTTCTACAAACCACATAAATTAAGGAATGATTATTATCATTTTAAAGGAGACTTTTTACTTTACAAAAGGTTGCATGGTAGAGTTTATATATTATGTGGAAGGACTCTCAGGCATCTTAAAGACTAGTAGAACCTTTGCCTCTAATTAAATCCCAAGCTAAAGCCCAGTGTTTGTACTGTCCCAGACCTGCCCATAGAAGCCACTGACATCCATAAGTTTGGATGCTCTCAGCCCTGCTGCTGGCTTTTTTTTCACAATTGTTAGGCCTACAAGTAGCATAATTTGAAATCAATTTAATATGCCTTTCTTTACAAAAACCCAATTAAAAACTTTTAGGCCATCTGTCATGTCAAGCAGTTAGCCTGTAAGATAGAAAAATACAACAAAAGTGAAAGTAATGATTTATCAAAACGTTTCCTTTAACTTTTCAAATTCAGGAAGTTCAATAGATATTAGTTCAGAATCCTATTAATTTTTACATTTTCTACAAATGGCCTTCCTATTTTTATGGAGCAGATTATCAATGTGAGGTGCAGTAGACAGCTATTTTGGAGCTCCTATTTCCTGGCAGAGCTGAGAATGGAATGTAAATATCTAAAATTTTCAGTCTTGAGTCCTAGATTCATTGTTTTTATTTAATGGTCTCAATAGATTTCAACAATAAAAATCTTAGCAAGGGAGATGACTGACACAGAGAAAGTGGTAGCTACATAGTGGTTTAAAAATGTATTTTATAGCCAGTTCTTATTCTGATGCTACTAGAACTGAATGTGTGATGCACAAAGGAATAAAGAAAAACACAGCTTGGGAAGAGAGGGAATGGGTCCAACTTCTCCCCTTTAAACTTGCCCCTGTGTTGTGAAAATAGTCTCTTGAGGCTGAGGACCAGCCCCTGTGGCCTCTCTGGAGTCTTTGTCTTTCTCCTTCTTAACTAAGTTGTTATATTTTGAGTGCCAGAAATGCCTTATTTTAAGAGAAATTCGTGTTCTACCAAAATTCTTTCTACTGGCTTCACGTTATGTACTCGGTGGCCCACAAACACCTTGTTTGCACCAGGGGCCATTTGCATGGATTTCGAGGAGGAGAGGTGGGGAGGTGTAGGAAGGGGTGGGGAGGGAGGAGGGAGGGGTAGGAGGCCGAGCTCAGGCAGTGATGTGTGTGACAGGGAGCGGCTGTCAATACAGATGAAGCTTCCCTTGCTCACCTGCCCACCCACCCATGCTCCTCTCTCCCTGTGCAGCCACGTTCACAGCTCACCTCCTGCTGTGTGGCCGGTTCCTCAGTTTCATAGAAGACAATTTTCCCACCCATGGGGGTGGGTGTTTTGTGGTGGCCTGCCCTGGTTCCTGCCAGGCCACAGGCGCTGGGGACCACCTATATAAAGAAAGGGAAAGAAATTGCAATGAAGAGTTCGTGTTCTACATGTGCTTTTACTTTGTCATTACCTAGAAACAAGCTTTGCCTTTTACAATATGGATAATAATTTGACAATAATTATGTAATCATATGATTTAAAATTTATAATTTATAGTAATTTTTCTCGTTTCTCTTTTTTACAGTCTGTTACAGTAAATGTGAAAAATTCAGACACTGTGAATGACACCATCAATATGTCACTAGCAATGCTAGGACTCAGTGTAAGTTGCTTACAGCTATTTTTAGTTAAAAACCCACTTTGGCTTTTGAGATTCATGTATATTAAAATATACGTGTATGTATATACACACACCCCTTTTTGTTTGTACAGTGCATCTCCCATGTTAAGACAGCTCATGCTTATAGATATCAGAGTCATATTTTGTTCCCTTACATTTAGAAATTAAAGACAGCAGAGATATTAGTTTATATACGCATACTATTATTGCTTACTTGTTTTAACTGTTGTGTGAACTGAAAGTCATAGCATAATGAAATTAGGCTATAATTTTAGAGTGCTAATAACATGTATTTTTATTACATGTATTTTACACATATCCAATAAAATGTTGGTAAAATTCTTAATAAGAAATTTCCAACCTCTTATATTAGATGGTTCTTTCAATATCTTCTCTGCTGGTTTCTCCCCTGCCATACCCACTTACCCTGATCATCACCCCAGGACTCAATATCAGCACGAAAATGCACCTTTTGTTGTAAGTTTTGACATAAAGAAAGCCTGGCTAGAAGCTCTATTGCTGGGTGCTGTTTCTGAAAATGAGAATGGGGAAAGGAGACAGGATTTGAATGAGACCATGGATTTGGGTCACTGAGGTACACACCATTCTCGTCTTCTTTTACCCTTAAGTGTCTGTTCCTTTATGTTTCGATGGGGCTGGTAGAGGTTGTTGAGATTTTTTGGTGGAAGAGACGGGCATATTTGAGGATAAGTATGAGGACCCTTTAAGGGGGAAAAATGCAAGTTGACAAAATCAGAACTTTTATTAAAGAAAGTGACATTCAGGTGGACAGAAGCTAAAGGAAGCACTTGCAGCATGGCTCCTTATATAAATCTCCCAGGAAATGTGAAAATTTCTTGCTATTCTGATATGATGTCCAAGATTTGTATTTCAATTGTGTGTGACTGCCTGGTAAAATGAAGCCCCTTGACAGCTCAGGGCAACCAGAATTTGGCACGAGAAATCAATTATTTCTGTACTACTGGAATTTAATAGTATGTTTAAAATAAAATTGAATTTATATATACTGAGTAAAGCAGATACCACCATGTTGCTTTCTACCCTATATCACATATGTGCCCTCAATGAGAATTAAATCTTGGGAGAGAATAATTTTAGGGATGAGATTGGGGAGCTTAATTTAAAATAAAATACAAGTTAATTTTATTTTAAGTTGGTGGTTTTCCTTTGCTTAAAGTGATCAGTCTCACCAGACAAGAAGTAATTTCTATTTTAATGATAAATTGAGGTTATTTAGCTTATATATGTATACATGATATAAGGGATTCCAATGTGTTTTCAACCTCAACCTTGAAAGGAAAAAATTTTAATAGATCTCACTTCCTATTTTGAAAACAATGTTGAGTGGATTTAGCACTCTGTTTGTTTGTTTCAAGTGGGATTTCCAGTATGGCAGGGTGACGATTCTGCTGGAGGTTATAGTTTTCTGCATCTGGTCTGTTCTCCAGGTGAGAGTCCTTGTCCCTTGTTTGAATGAAAGGCAGCGGCTGACTTCACTCTGCCAGCTCCTCAGGACTCTTGGGCATCTGTCTCCTTTTGCTCAGGGTTGTGGCTTACGATGCCTTCCACATTTCACTGTGCTCAGGCGTAGTCCCGTGGGCGAATGTTGTCCCTGCCCGGATGACAGGCTCGACTGGGCAGAGACAGGTGACGGCAAAGCTCAGCGTTCTACAGAGCCTGGGGACAGCGGGACCCTCTGGGCTAACGTTCCCTGTGTTAGTGAAGGAGCATGAAGTGATTTCCACTCCATGGGTCTCTCAGAAAGAAAGGGGCTGACTGTGTGAGGGTCCACAGACTCAGGCCCAGCAGAGGGGAGAAGGCAGGAATCTGGGGGCGTCTGTTGCAGGCTGTGAGGGGCACAGGGGCACTGATGTTGGCACCATTAACCACCCAATGCATTGAGCAGCACTTCTGCTGTCCCAGTGGTTTTCCTTTTCGGAAATGTGGACATGATAAAGCAACGTGTTCTTCTTCAAGCATTTACCATGAAACATTTGGCGT